CAGAGCCACGAATATTTCACAAAGTTGACCAAATTCCGGCTAAAGACTGGGGGGCTGACTGGAGGGAGCCAATAAAGCACTACATCACGACAGGCGAGCTCCCAAAGAATAAATGGCAGGCCAGGAAAATGAAAGTCGTTAGCGCGAAATTTTGTCTGTCAAGGGATGCGTTATATAGACGAGGTGTCAGTGACCCTTACCTATTGTGCATTTTTGGGCCCGAAGTCGAGATCGTCATGAGCGAAGTGCATGAAGGATTATGTGGGAGTCATTCATCAGGAAGAGCTATGGCTTTTAAAGTTAAAAGAATGGGTTATTTTTGGCCCACTATGATCACAGATTGTGTTAAGTTCGCCCAAAGATGCAAGCGCTGTCAACTCCATGCACCATTGATCCACCAACCGTCGGAATTGTTTTCCTCCATTTCCGCCCCATACCCGTTTATGAGGTGGTCAATGGACATCATTGGACCATTGCACAAATCAACTCGAGGTGTACAGTACCTTCTAGTCCTTACGGACTACTTTTCAAAATGGATTGAAGCTGAGGCGTATGTTGGTATCAAGGATTCGGCCGTGAAGACCTTTATTTGGAAAAACATTATATGTCGGCATGGAGTTCCATATGAAATAGTTACTGATAATGGACCACAATTCATTTCACACGAGTTTGATGCCTTTTGTGCGGACTGGGGAATCAAAGTTAGTTATTCTACTCCACGATATCCGCAAGGAAACGGACAAGCTGAAGCCGCGAACAAGACAATATTAAGCAATCTCAAGAAACGCTTAAGTCATCTAAAGGGAGGATGGTATGAAGAACTCCAGCCCGTCCTGTGGGCCTATCGTACAACCCCTAGGCGACCTACAGGAGAAACTCCATTCTCTTTGGTTTACGGCATGGAAGCGGTAGTACCAGCCGAACTCAATGTGCCCGGACTTCGCCGAACAGAAGCACCGTTAAATGAGGAAGAAAATTCAGCAATGCTTAAAGATTCACTAGATACCATAAATGAAAGGGGTGATCAAGCTCTAATTCGGATCCAGAATTACCAACAAGCAGCAGCCCGATATTATAATTCTAAAGTTAAAAGTAGGCAGTTCTTCGTGGGAGATTATGTATTAAGGCGCGTCTTTGACAACAAAAAAGAAGAAGGTGCCGGTAAACTCGGTATTAATTGGGAAGGACCTTACATTATTACCGAAGTGGTTCGAAACGGCGTTTATAGGTTAAAAGACCTAGAAGACAATCCAGTCAAGCGACCTTGGAATGTGATCAACTTAAAGAAGTTTTATGTTTAAAGGCTACATGCATTGTTTATATACATGAACTACGATTTGGCTTGATCCCGAAATGGGTACGTAGGCAGCTCGAAAACGAGTTCAGCTATTAATAAAATTTTTGTTTTATTTCTTTATTAAAGGAAGAAGGTTCGGCTATGCGAACATACAAGAGATTAGAAATAAAGCGTTTATTCAAAAAAAAAAGAAGGCGAAGTGTCCCTCATCGTACACTTTGAACTACGAAATCCTCGTTGACGAGCAGAACACTTCAACTCCTTGACCAGCAAGATCGAGGATCGGCATCATGCAGTCCGGAATTCGAGCAAAGTCAGAAATCCCAAGCTCAATCCACTCTCCGGGGTGAGATTCAAGGATGTGAAGACTTCTTGACACTGTAGTAAGCCTGCGTTGCATCCGGTTAATCCTCTTCCGAAGTCTTTTCTTTTCCGACGTAAGCTTCCGGTGTTGAAGCTCGAGCGCCTCTATGAACGCCATCGCCGTTCCTTGATCTCTGGTTGGGAGATCCCTGATCAATTCACAGGGGGCTCGGATCTGAGATCTCAAGAAGCCGCGAAGTGGAGGAAGATGCCTGTTTGGCTCATTTGGAACATCTTCACCCATCATTCCGATTCTGGAGAAGTCGGGCATAGACTCCGAACAGCGAAGATTGAACTCCATACCTGCTAAAATGAAAAGAAGGGTGAGAAGTAAAGGGAAATTGAACCTGTAATTTATAGGAACCCCATATCCTTAGCAAGCTGCGGATTCTATCCAAGGAATGGAGTGATTCGCGGAGAGATTCATGCCCTCAAACAGATCCTGCATTAAAAGGTGCATCTCCGAGAATATTTTAAAAGAGAGGAAAGTTGCAAATATTTCCATAAATAAAAAGGGCCGAAGCCCATCACGAGTTTTTTAAAAAAAAAAAAGAAGAGAAAGAAGAAAGTGAAGAAATTAGAGAACACTTATGGGAAAGGCTCAGGAACAGGCTCCTTCATCGCCGATTTAGTTTCCGAAGTGAACGCCTTGTTCGTGACATCCACTTCGGAACGATCCCGAACGCGTTTCCGGCAGTTGCTGGCCTCCTCCTCCAAGTCCTCTTCCTCTTCACTGTCAGACGGAACGGCGCAGACAGGGGCGTTCACGGGACCCGGGACTCCTCTAGCGCGAAGATACATCCGAAGCATCTTCGGGATCTCAGCAACGGAGTCAAAGTTCCGCCACTCCCATTGAAAGGGATCGCTCTCCAGGGCCCGTATCTTCCTTTCCACACGGGCGATGCGAGCCTCGAGCGTCTGCCTTTTGAGTCCCAGCCGCTGCCTCTCTTCACACAAGCGACGGTGCTTGTCGGCGACCTAGCATAAAAATGGGTGAATAAGGCAAAACCAAAAGTTTTTAAGTAAAAAAACTTTAAATATTTACCTTGTCGATGAAGTCGCAAGCCTCTTTCTTCTCCTTTGAAGGGAAGTGAAAGACGGCGTGAGGAAAGAGAACGCCAGCCGGTTCAAATCCGTCGCCAGACAAGAAAAGTGGGCTGCCGGGATCGATGGGGGCTACTTCTTCGTTTTCCATTCTTAGAATATTTCTCAAGTGAGATTCTATAGTCATGTTTAATAAAGCCTAGAGGTAGGTAAGCCTTTATTTATAATGATTTAGGGTTTGTCTTGGAACCATAAATCCATTAATGGTAGCGTTTCCGAGTGGGTTAAACCACTTTTGGAAAATCGAGAAAAGGCAATTATTACATTAAAAAACGAGCCGTTCTCTTTAAGAAGGGAAAGAGCAACCGTCGCATTAACTGCAAAAGTTTCTAAGGCCCAAGCCTGACAAGTTTACCGAGTTGACTAAACCCGAAGTGGGGAACTCGCTTTAAGCCGAGCTCAGCTCTCGCATTCTAAAGAGAAAGGTCTGATCAGCCTAAAAATCTCGAAAGCATTGCCACAAGGCCACAAAAGGTTAAAAGCGGACTTTGCAAACCCGCATATAATTTTAACCAGATCCCCTTGGGCCACAACCTAGAAAGGTTTAAAAGCCTCCTCAGGCAAATATTTTGTTCAAAAGGAAATAATAAAGCCTCCTTAGGCAAAGACAAGTTTGAAATTAAGTCTTAAAAATAAAGGGACAATCCCCAATTTAAAGTGGACACAGCCACTACGGAGTAATCTCCACTCCGGACTCCGGCTCAGCAACCAAAGTATCATTCACCTCCTTAACTGGTGCTTGATCAGATGAAGCTCCCTGGCCACCCTCCGTGGTACAACCAACTTCCGGAGTGACCTCTGGTACCATTGGAGCTGCGGGCGGGACAATGTCTCCCGTCTCACTTGAACCTAGAAATAATGATTCCAGTCAATCAAAGGTACAAGGTCAGAAAAAGGTAAGCCACAGGAGCCAAGTGTTACCTGCCCAATCTAAACCCGATTCACTGATAGGAGGTGATTCAGTAAAAAATGCCTCGAAATCAAGTGGGTTGAAGACCGAAGTGGGAAGAGCTGCTAAGCGACTCCGTTTTCCAGAAAGGTCAGCCCGCAACCCTTGAAATAAATCTCATACACACAGAAGTAACCATCGCGATGGTTCACTGGAGATTCTGTGGGAGAAGCTATTTGTGCTTCCGCCATAATTTCCGGCGGAATCCGGCAAAGCTCTCTCAATCGCTCGAGGGATTGAAGAGTACAAGTGGACCTATAGTGCGGACCGGCAATGTCACCAGGGCGGGTGCACTCGTCGTTACTAGAACGCCTCTCGTCAAAAGACGGAGACTCGGGTCTATCGGAATCAGAAGTCATTGGGAAGAAAGAAAAATTCAAGATCCGGCGAAGAAGGGTTTTGGTGAAGGAACGAAGAGAGAGGTTTTGATTAAAGTACAAAAGTAAAAGAAGAGAGTAATGGTGAAAAGAAGTTACCTCAAGCTAATGATGAAACCGCCTCGGAAGTCGTGTGGGAAGTGGGAAGGTTTTTCCCGTTTTAATAGTAATTAATCAATATACGGTCATAATGATGACAGATGTCACTCGGTTAAAAATGGATAGTGCCAAAATTAAAGGAGTGATGAGATTTTCGGCGGGAAATCAGAAAGATTCTCGAGCGCAATCTTTGGCCACTTGAGCATTTAAAGTCCTCCGAACTGGAATAGCACTTCGAAGAACTTGGGGGGCTAATTGTTGGTGTCGGATCCCGCACCAGAAATACGAGACCAACCAAAGATTGCCACGTGATCAAGATAATGGCCCATAAAGGATGAAGCCCATTGGACCCGTGAGCCGAAGGGACGGTCGAAGTGGTTGTCACCATTTCGAGAATCCGAGGTGACTGCACTGTGACACGAGTTCGGTGTAGAAGACACGGGTAAGACGGTTCACGGACACTTGGGCCGAAAGAGGCGAGGCCCATGAAGATCAGAGTCAACTCAAATTCAAACGTTGAGCATTAAAGCCGAAGAATCAAAACGGATACATTTAAGAAGAAATAATTGTGCTTAATTACTCATTTTAATATCGTTTATCGGTGTATAAATATAGAGGCCGATGGCCATGTAAAGGGGATCTTCCTCTCGAGAGAGAAATAAAATAGCAATTTTCGTATCAATTTACAAGTTTTTATATATTCATTTTTGTCCCTCAAGAATAATCTTTCCCACTTAACAAAAATACTTGAGTGTGTGAATCCGACATCTACAGCGTCCACTTCGAAGTCCAAACCGGCGATGAAGGAGCCTGTTCCTGAGCCTCTTCCATAAATGTCCCGAACTCTGCTCACTTTATTTCACCTCCTTTTTCTTTAAAACTTTTGGACTCATAATGGGCTTCGGCCCATTTTGTTTATGGAAATCTTATTACCTTCCTTTTTCGAAATATTTTCGGAGATATGTCTTGAATGCAGGATTGGTTAAGGGCATAAATCCTTCTGCAAATCCTTCTGCTCCAGGATGGAAACCGCGGCTTACTAGGGATTCGGTGTCCTTATAAATTGTAATTTCACCTTCTCTTTATCCTTCATCATTCTCTTTTCTTTTTGCAGGTATGGAGTTCAACCTTCAATGTTCAGAGTCTATGCCAGACTTCTCTAGGGTCGGAATGATGGATGAAGATATTCCAAATGTGCCGAGTAGGCGGCCTTCTCCACCTCGCGACTTCTTCAGATCCCAGATCCGAGCTTCGTGCGCCAAGGACCTCCCAGTCAGAGACCAAGAAACAGCGATGGCATTCAAAAGGGCGCTTGCGATTCAACACCAGAAGCTATCGCTGGAAAGGAGGAAACTCAGAAAAAATATTAATCGAATGCAACGCAGGGTTACTACGATATCAAGAGATCTTCACGTCCTCGGCTCTCACCCCGGAGAATGGATCGAGCTTGGAATCTCCGAATTTGCTCGTATTCTGGACTGTATGATGCCGATTCTCGATCTCGCTGGTCAAGGAGTTCAAGTGTTCTGCTCATCAAGAAGATTTCCCTAATTCAAAGTGTGTAAAGATCGACACTTCGTTTTATTTGCTTAAATAAATGTTTTGTTTCCAGCTTCTGTATGTTCGCCTAGTCGAACTTTATTCATCTTGTCCGTTCGCATAGTCGAACTCTTTTCTAAAATAAAAACAAATTTTATTAGTAGCTGAACTCGTTTCCGAGCTGCCTACGTACCCATTTCGGGATCAAGCCACACCCTAGTTCATGTACATAATAAAAATGCGTGTCACTTAAACGTAAAACTTCTTTAGGTTGATTACATTCCAAGGTCGCTTGACTGGCCTGTCTTCTAAGTCTTTCAACCTATGAACACCATTGCGAACCACTTCGGTAACAATGTAAGGTCCTTCCCAATTAATGCCGAGTTTGCATGCGCCTTCTTCCTTTTTATTGTCAAAAACTCGCCTTAGCACATAATCTCCTACAAAGAACGGTCTACTTTTGACTTTAGAGTTATAGTATCGAGCTGCTGCCTGCTGGTAATTTTGAATCCGAATTAAAGCTAGATCTCGCCTTTCATTGATGGTATCTAGCGAGTCTTCAAGCATTGCTGAGTTCCCTTCTTCATTCAATGGTGCTTCTGTTCAGTGAAGTCCAGGTACATTGAGTTCGGCCGGTACTACCGCCTCCATGCCATAAACTAGAGAGAACGGAGTTTCTCTAGTAGATCGCCTAGGGTTTGTGCGATAGGCCCACATGACGGGTTGAAGCTCATCATACCATCCTCCCTTTAGGTGATTCAAGCGCTTTTTGAGATTACTCAAAATTGTCTTGTTCGCGGTCTCGGCTTGGCCATTTCTGTAACACCCGCGTCCCGCGATCCTAAAGGGGGCCGGTTTGTTTTAGGGAAAACTAGATCATGGTCGAGAAAGACCAATGAATAAGTTAACCCAAAGAAGGAATGAAACGTTTAAGTCATGAAAAGGGTAGATGACATAGACGACATCGGGATAATCTAGTGTTCATGGAGAAATGATCACGGAAAGATTGGGAATGGCGTAGTCAAGGCCAAGAAAACGGACCGAAAGACTTAGCCGGAAAGAACGTGGAAGAACGTTCGAGCTAAACCAGCTAGGTGAGCTGAACAAGCTGGATGAACTAGCTAGCTCAGCTAGGTGAGCTACACCAGCTGAAGGACTAGCTAGCTCAGCTAGGCGAGCTGACCGACAGCTCAACTGAGCTCGGTGAACTGATCGAGTATTGACCCAGCTGGGTGGTCCGGTCAGCTGACACTCAAGCTGGTGGACTGTGGTAGCTCGGGATGAAGAAATATAAGGTCGAGCAGTTACCGACGAACGGTTACCGTTGGCCAAAGGGTGGATAAGGCCGAACGGTTACGATCGGAAAGATGCAACCTTTCGGAAGGGTGCAACGAACGGATGTGATGTTTCGGAAACACACCCATTCGCCCCCTATATAAGGGAGGACGCCCAAGGCATTCAGAATGCCCACAACAATCCAAAACAAGTCCCAAAACACTCTACGAAGTGTTGGTCGGAAAGGGGGTGCGGCTCGGCGAGTATCTCCGAAATCGGAATAGATTCTCGGAGCCTCGACCGAACTAATGCGCATGCTACCTCCCGATCCAACGGTTCGATAGAATGTATTGAGGGATGGATGGGATAGACCGATCATCTTAGAGACGGATCGGCGGACAGACCGATCGTCGGACGGATCAGATCGGATAGACCGATCGTTGTACGGATCGGATCGGACAGACCGATCGTTGGACGGAAGGATCGGATCGGAGAAGAAGACGGATCCGGATAGACCATCGCACAGACGGATTGATCGACCGGGATAGGCGGATCGATCGTCGTGTCAACAAGTCGGATCGACGTATGACCGGATAGGTGTACAATCAGATAAACGGATAAAGGTTTAGATCGGCGGATTGATCGATCGTACCGATCGGCGGGATGACCGATGGTACGTATCGGAGATCTTGTCGAGGGAACATGGCGGATTACATGATCGAGGATTCGATGGGAACCGCCGAAGGGTTTGACGACTTGATTAATGGTTCGGGTCGATAGCTCGATTATGGGGTCGATGGATCGTCCGTTCTATGAATCATATCGTCGAGGGAAGTACACGAAAAGGAAATGGATCGGCAAATCTAAGATTGTCAATATGGAAGTATTGACGAATCCAAAGATAGTCCGATAGATGATATGGTTAACGGGAAGTTAATCGGGAAGGCGTATAAGGGAAAGGTGTTCGAAGAAGCACGAGGATAAGTGTAACCGAACACACCCAAGGGTCGCCCATGGATGCAATCTCACCGGTAAAAGGAGTAAGCACCGAGAATGGGTAAGTGACGTGGTTCACCATGTAAGGATCTAATATCGCGGCCGCCTTCATGTATCAATCGCCATGGCCGATGGTGAAACCGATTGGGAATCGGTAACACCAATGGTGACTCGACGGATAACCAACGGGAAAGTCCACGATGAGAACCGGTGGACAAAACGGATGTTGGACCCGCGAGCAAACCAAAGGCCGACGGACGAATGATTTCATGGGCTAGCCTACGATAATCCGATGGGTGAATCCACGGACCCTTGGGTGTGATAATGATATTGTTCGGATCGCATGGATGGATCGGTAAGCCGAAGGCGTTATGACCACCATGGACCGGACGGGTAAACGGTTAGTAGACCGTGGGCGGTCGTAGTGATAAACGACCGGATCGGAAACATGGATGGTTCGATAAGCCGAGGGCTTGATCGTCCACCATGAAACCGAAGGGGCGTACGTTTGGAGGACGGATGGACCAATGAGCCAAGAGCTTGATTCGGCCACCGTGAACCAAGAAAAACGTACGATCCCCAATCTCTATCGTAGGGACTTAGACCAGTGGGGTTGGTTGGATGAATGGCTAAGTAACGATAGAGATTGGTCCATCAATACACGATTGGTTAAGAATCGTTGTATGAATGGAATAAGGAAATAAAAAGGGCTAAGGGAAGGATCAATGGACGGATCGAAGAGGAATCGAATCCGCATGTTGGCCAAGGTATGTAAACAAATCTAACTTATGAATTAAGATAGACGTTTAGGAATTGGCCATTGGATTAAGGATAAAGGAATATGCAATCGTTAGACTTAGAATGGTTAGCGAACAATATGCATGTTTTGACCGAGTTAAGGATCGATCTAAGTCTTAGGGACAAGGACGATAAAACCGGTATAAGAATTGGTTGGAATTAAACCAAGGGTAGAAAGACTTCCGCTGTGTAATAAGAACGCGATCATAGAATTAAGCCTTGTAAAGGCAATTCTATGTTAAATCGCGAAAAATATGGAGGTTCGGCCGGGAGGAGGCACGAACGTGTGACCATGGTCGCCGGACGCCAAGACGTCCGGGACGGGGTCTCACAAGTTGGTATCAGAGCATGCTTGATCCTAGGATGGATAAGTGCTCGGGAATATGTCATGGTAAATGACAACTAAAGGTGTAACCTAAATGATTGAGTCATCGGAAAACCGAATTAGTAACTTGAACATTAGTGTTGGTGAGCCGGAAGGGAATTGAGGCATGAACGCGATTACATGCTTGGAAACCAAGAGAGTTTGCCAAGATGAATTGGTTAAGCCAAGATGATTACCCAAGGGGCAAGAACTACACGTGTAGCAAGTGAATAATTATTCGGAAAAAGGGGGCTGATTATAGAAGTTGAAAATGTTATGCTAAGTGTTTGGCGGATAAGGAAGTTGAGGTGAATGAGATCGATGTGCTTGAGGAAAGATTACCCAAGGCATGATCGGGCACCAAGATATGATCCTTATAGTCAAACGACTTAACATAACGGGGAAATAGGTATTGATCTATTCGGAGAATGGCCAAGATCAATAGAAATTAGATCTCGTCGGAATTTGACGAAGATCGGGAAAGACTTGATCTATTCGTTGAAAAGATCAAGGGGTATTGACCGAGTCCGGTAAAGGACCAAGGTCGGGAAAAATGACCAAGTCCGGTAAAGGACCAAGGTCGGAAATTATTGACCGAGTTCGGTAAAGGACCAAGGTCGGGAAAAATGACCAAGTCCGGTGTGGACCAAGGTCGGGGAATTATTGACCGAGTCCGGTGTGGACCAAGGTCGGGAAAAGTGACCGAGTCCGGTGTGGACCAAGGTCGGGAAATTATAGACCGAGTCTAGAAAGGACCAAAGTCGGGAATAATGACCGTGTCCGAAAAGGACCAAGGTCGGGAATAGTGACCGTGTCCGCAAAGGACCAAGGTTGGGAAATATTGGCCAAGTCCGGGTTGGACCAAGGTCAGAAATTTGTTCTAGTCGGAATTAGACTTGGACGGGTTACATTTGATCGAGTCCGAGAAATGGACAAAGATCGGAAAAATGGATCGAGTCCGAGAAAGGACGGAGATCGAGAATTTGATCGAGTCCAAGAAAGGACCAAGATCTAGAAATTTGATCGTGTGTCGGAAAAGACCAAGATCGGGGAAACTTGATCAAACTCGGAAATAGATATTTATCAAGTATGGAATCTAAAGTCTTAGGAAGACTAAAGATGGGAAAATGTTAAGGAGTAACTCTAACACCCGCCGAATTCGAGGACGAATTCATTTTAAGGGGGGTAGACTTGTAACACCCGCGTCCCGCGATCCTAAAGGGGGCCGGTTTGTTTTAGGGAAAACTAGATCATGGTCGAGAAAGACCAATGAATAAGTTAACCCAAAGAAGGAATGAAACGTTTAAGTCATGAAAAGGGTAGATGACATAGACGACATCGGGATAATCTAGTGTTCATGGAGAAATGATCACGGAAAGATTGGGAATGGCGTAGTCAAGGCCAAGAAAACGGACCGAAAGACTTAGCCGGAAAGAACGTGGAAGAACGTTCGAGCTAAACCAGCTAGGTGAGCTGAACAAGCTGGATGAACTAGCTAGCTCAGCTAGGTGAGCTACACCAGCTGAAGGACTAGCTAGCTCAGCTAGGCGAGCTGACCGACAGCTCAACTGAGCTCGGTGAACTGATCGAGTATTGACCCAGCTGGGTGGTCCGGTCAGCTGACACTCAAGCTGGTGGACTGTGGTAGCTCGGGATGAAGAAATATAAGGTCGAGCAGTTACCGACGAACGGTTACCGTTGGCCAAAGGGTGGATAAGGCCGAACGGTTACGATCGGAAAGATGCAACCTTTCGGAAGGGTGCAACGAACGGATGTGATGTTTCGGAAACACACCCATTCGCCCCCTATATAAGGGAGGACGCCCAAGGCATTCAGAATGCCCACAACAATCCAAAACAAGTC